CCTCGAGCACTCAACGAAGGAGAGGTTTGCTGCTGCTGCTGCTGCTGCTGCTGCTGCTGCTGCTGCTGCTAGTGCTGCTGCTGCTGCTAGTGCTACTGCTGCTGCTAGTGCTACTGCTGCTGCTAGTGCTGCTGCTGCTGCTAGTGCTGCTGCTGCTGCTAGTGGTGCTGCTGTTGCTGGTACTTCTGCTGCTGTTGCTACTGTTGCTGCTGCTGTTGCTGCTGCTGTTCCTGCCGCTGCTGCTGCTGCTGCTGCTGCTGCTGCTGCAGCTGGTGAGGATTGTAAGGAGACAGGAGACAGCAGCAAGCAGCTGCGGTGTACATCTGTCTCTTCTTTCTTTTCTTTCTCTGCTTCTATTTCTTTTTTTATTTCTCTGTCTCTTTCTGTCTCCTTTTTATTTGTCTCTTTCTGTCTCCTGTTTCCTTCTCTTTTTATTTATTTATTTTCATCTGTCTCCTTTTATTTATTTATTTTTATTTCTCTATATTTATTTATTTTTTTTGTATCTCTCTTTTTATTTATTTTTATTTGTCTCCTTTTATTTATCTATCTTTCCCTCTCTCTACTTATTTATTTATCTTTACCTCTCTCTGTGAATCCCTATACACTTATGTATTTCTGTTTATTTATATATTTTTATATTTATATATTTATATATTTATTTATTTTTTTTTTTATTTTTTATTGTCTGCTGCTGCTGCAGATATCTATAGCTTTGGGTTTGCCTTCGCTGCGGGAGCGGCGGTGGTCTGTCTTCAGTGCTTCTGCTGTTAAGGGGGAGGGACTAGGAGCAGCAATGGATTGGTCAGCAGCAGCAGCAGCAGCAGCAGCAGCAACAGCAGCAGCAGCAGGAGCAGTAGCAACAGCCGAGCAGTAGCAGTAGCAGCAGCAGCAGCAGCAGCAATAGCAGAGCAGTAGCAGTTGCAGCAGCAGCAGTAGCAGTAGCAGCAGCAGTAGCAGCAGTAGCACCAGTAGTAGCAGCAGCAGCAGCAACAGCAATAGCAGAGCAGTAGCAGCAGCA